AACAGTCTACCAACTGAGTTCCATCCCTAGGCCATTTTGGTTTTTTGCAGGGGGTTGGGGGGCATTCATGCATTAGAGACAAGCATTTACCACTGAGCTATACCCCCAAGGCTGGGTGACCAAATGTCTAAGACTCTTGCCAGACACAAAATACATTTTAGAAAAATAATTTGATAAGAAGAGAAATCTCTCCCAGCCTGCCTGTTCCAATTCTTGTTTGGATAATGGTCCCTGTGCCCATAAAAAGGAAAGGACAGCTGAGTCCAGTTCTCTCCCAGATGTTGTCAGTATATTCCCAGCCAGGCCGTGGGCTGAGACCAGAATGCCTTCCAGCACAAACAGCGGGTTTTGTTGGAACCCAGAGCCAGTCTGGGTCTGGCGGATACTGGCTCTTCGCCCACCAGATGAGTCGTTTCCTCTAGACAGGGCAAGTTGAGGGGTGGAAGCCAGATCACACAGCAGAAGCATTGATATTGTATGGAGTGGGGTTTTTGCTGCCCTCAAGCTGTACTTGATACCACCAGGTCCCCTTGGCTTCCACTTGTCCTGGTCGCAGCCCTGCCTTGGTTGGGGAGGAGAGGACCAGAGGCCAATAGTTCTCAGGTGGCAATGGTGGTCTTTTTGTTTTGTTTTGGGGTTGGAGACAGGATCTCATGTATGTAGCCCAGGCTAGCCATGAAGTTGGGATGTAGCAGAGGATAACCTCGAACTCCTGATATTTCTGCCTGCACATCACAAGTACTGGGACTGCAGGTGTAAACCATCATACCCTGTTTATGCTGGGGACTGAACCCAGGGCTTCGTGCAAGCCCTGTACTAACCAAGTTGCGTCCTCATCACACTCAGCCTATATCTGGAGAGAGGAACAATCTCAACAGTGTGTATGGTCCTCAAGAGTCTCTCCAGGCCTCACTGTCTCCTTGTCACTCCCACACAGGCCAGCTCTGTGGCCCCAGGGAGGCCTCTTAGTGGATCGGGCATCCCTGTTCTGTGTGTCTCCCCTAGTAAAATCCCCACAGAACCAAACTGCTCGATGCTGGGCCTAGAACAGGCCTGATAGGAGCCTCTGGCAGAAACACGGAGGCCAGAAGCACATTCCAGAGCCGCCTAGGACGGACCTGCCTGTTCCTCTTAGGCAGTCCTGTTAGTCCCCTGGATCTAACTTCCAGAAAAGGGAGCAAAGGGCATGCAAAATGTGAGCTGTTGGGTGGAATGGGGTGAGGAGCAGGCTGCCTGTGTTCAAATCCTGCCTGAGCTGGAAGAATGGCTCAGTGGTTAAGAGGACTGCAGCATGCTTCCCAACACCCATAAGAAGTAACTCTCAGACGCCTGTAACTCCTGTTCCAGGGGATCTGATATCTTCTCCTGGTCTCTGACAACTCTAGAATCGACAAGCACAATCCTACACACACACACACACACACACACACACACACACACATACACACATACACTTTTTGTGTGTCCTCAAGCATAGGACATAACCTTCAGGACCAGGGCACAGTGGTCCTATAATTTCAGCAATTGGGAGGTTGAGGCAAGAGTTTATGGCCATGAGTTCAAGACCAGCCTGGCTACATAGGCACATCATTTCAAAAATGTCAGACAGCTGGACATGGTGGCACACACCTTTAATCCCAGTAGTTAGCAGGTAGAGGCAGACAGATCTTTGTGAATTTGAGGCCAGCCTGGTCTACATAGTGAGTTTCAGACCAGCCATAGTGAAACCCCCATGTCAGAAACAAAGCAGAGAATCAGAAAAGGAAGGGGGAGGGGGAATCAAGAGGGTCAAAATAGATTAATAAATGTCCAGTACTTGAATACTTGGTAAGCATCCAACATATGGTATTAATTTAATTTTTTTTTTGAGATAGGGTCTTACTATGTGGCTGTGGCTGGCCTGGGGTTTGCTATGTAGACCAGGTTGGCCTTGAACTCACAAGAGATCTGGCTGCTTCTGTTTCCCAGTATTAGGATTACAAACATGAACCATCACTCCTAGAGGTAGTAACTCTTCTTATTATTTATTTATTCATTCATTTGTTTATTTCTAGACAAGGCTTTCTGTGTAACCCTGCCTGTCCTGGAACTTTCTCTGTAGACCAGACAGACTGGCCTTGAACTCACTCAGAGCTCTTGCCTCTGCCTCCCGAGTCCTGGGATTAAAACGTTAGTAGTGCTTTAGCGATTCTTTAGATGGGCTCAGAGGGCAATAGCTTGTCCGTAGTCATGCAGAAGGTGGATGGAGTGGGTACCCAGCCCTTTTTGTCCCTGATCTTGGCCCTGAACAAGGCTGAGATGAAAAGGACCCTCGTTGCCTTGAATAAGTTAGGATCAGGGGCTGGGGACCCGAGAGCAGGTCCAACCTGGAATTCGACAGAACAACTTGGTCACAGGTGGGCACTATGTCTCTGCCGCTCTACCACACCTCCTTGACCATCAGTGTGACACCGCTGCACCACATCCCAGACTAGAGGCAGGAGCAGCAAGCATAAACTATGCGAGAAGCCAGTTGGCACAGCTGACTAGGAGCCCTTCCCTCTCTGGGTCACACACGACAAACAGCGTGTTCGTGTTTGTGGAGAGCAAGAGATTTCGACCTATGGTCATGAGCCATTGTCTTAGTTTGGCTCCCAAAATCACACAGGAAGCTGCATGTCCAGACGCTGAGAATCCCTACCCCCAATTGTTTTTTTTTTAAAGATTTATTTATTTAGTTTATGTATTCACCATTGCTCTCTTCAGACACACCAGAAGAGGGCATCGGACCCCATTACAGATGGTTGTGAGCCACCATGTGGTTGCTAGGAATTGAACTCAGGACCTCTGGAAGAGCAGTCAGTGCTCTTAACCACTGAGCCATCTCTCCAGTCTCCCAACTGGGTTTTAATTAATCAATAAAGAGCCAATAGCCCAACTCTGGCTGGGCAGGGTGAAAGAGGCGGGACTTTTAGGATTTCCCAGGCACGAAGTGGAGAGGAGAGAAGGAACAGAATCACCATCATGTGGAAGCAGAGAGATCAGGTTTAAGAGCTGCAGGAGAGAAATCATCCAGCAGTGTAGGTACAAAGGGAAAGTGGCCCCATGGGAGGGCTGCCCAGAAAGAAACAGGGCAGCAAAGATAAAATAGAGATTTAGAAAATGTTAACTCAGGAATACTGAAGGGGTGTGTGTGTTAGCCATGGGGAGGTTTGGAAGTGACCAGTCACTGAACTAGTCAAGGCATATATGAAAATATAAAGGTTGTGGGGTGTGTGTGTGTGTGTGTGTATGTGTGTGTGTGTGTGATTCCACAGAATCCAGAGAACTCTGGTGGGTGGCAAATAGTGTAATCACCTGACAGGAGCTTGGAGCAGATTAACAATTCACTGCTACATATGAGGCCTGGTACTTTTTGTTTTTTGAGATGGGCTCTTATTATGTAGCCCTGACTAGCCTGGAACTCTCTATGTAGACCAGGCTGGCCTTGAACTCTATTTGTCTCTGCCTACCTAATGCTGGGATTAAAGGTGTGGATGTGTGCTACCAGGGCTGGCTTTTTTTTTTTTTAAAGATTTATTTATTTATTTTATTTATGAGTACACTGTAGCTGTCTTCAGATGCACCAGAAGAGGGCATCCAATCTCATTACGGATGGTTGTGAGCCACCATGTGGTTGCTGGGATTTGAACTCAGGACCTCTGGAAGAGCAGTCAGTGCTCTTAACCACTGAGCCACCTCTCCAGCTCTGGGTGCTCTTTTCTTAATAAGCTGTCTCTTCTCTTTTAGTTTTAATTTGATGTATGTGTCTGTGAGCATGAAAACAAGTTCCCAAGGAGGCCAGAGGCATCATCATATCTCGTAGAACCGCCTACAGTTGTGAGCTGTAGGATGTGGGAAACCTGCTGATTAAGTCCATCACTGACTGCATAGCCTTCTGGGGCCTGGTGCATAATGGGGGACTCCGTTTGTTAACACGGTTTCTCCTCCTCTGACCTTGACTGGGGTATTCTAAGCCCTCAACACTTGTCTCTACCTGAGGAGTGTCACAGAGCCTCAGTTAATGTATAGGATCAATTTCCTTCCTCCTACAAAATCTGTTCAGCCATCACCTGAGATTCCTGAAGTATCTCCCCAAGGCTAAGGAGGCATTCCAGGTACCCTAAAGCCCCAGCCAATGACCTTTGCCTGTCCTGGATGTCCTGCACTCAGACCCCCAAAATGTTATAAGCCTTCAGTCACCCTAAGTAAAGATGATCTGCCTGCTGACTGTAGGTCCCGGTGCAGTCCTTCACAGTAAGTACTCCCAGGGCTTCTGAACCCCCTGTTCCATGTTGGCCAAATTGGCCAATGATCCACAAGGACGGGGAGAGAGACCCACATGTAGGGATGACACTCAGATCCTCAATTAGAGTGTTTCATGCTTGTAACCCCGAGCAACTTCTCCAGCTCCCAACCATCTGGATAACTGCATGTTCCTGGTGTAGTTCTTTGCCCTGGGACATAAGAACCTGGTAACTTCAGCCTGTGTCCTTTGTGCCCCAGGACACTCAGGGCAGGGCCAGGTCTGAGACTCATATCCCAGAACCCTGCCAAAAAAGCTGCCGGCTTCAGGAAGACTCTTTTTCTTCCTCCGCAACTGTGATCCTAAATGCAGGTTGAGAAAAGTCACCTTTATTGTTCTCTGAGAGAGCAAGGTGGGGGAGGGGTGGCCAGAGGGCAGGGGTCATTCTGAGGTCACAATTGTCCTCTGTCCTCTTGCAGAGCCAGGAAAATTGGGTGTGATGAAGCTGCCCATCTTCAAGAGAGGGATTCACACAGAGGCCTTCATGTGCCCACCTCTCTAGGTCTCCAGCTCTGGCCATCCCCTTTCTCCAGAGCCCCCATGGCCTGCTGGAAAGTCTAGGTGGGGACCAGCTCTGCCACTCAGTCTTCAGGCCACATCTTGTGGTCAAGACCTTGCTGGTTAGCCTATGCAGGCCCAAAACTGACTTCACATCCTCTACAGGGCAAGTCAGGAGGGGACCGTGCTTCTGCCTGGGGCAAGTGTGGAAGGCCGGGGCTCGCATGGACCTGTCCGTCATTATTCTCCTCCTGCTGTTACTGCTGCTGTTACTGTAGGCCTCTGGGGTGGAAAGCCCTGGGGGAGGGTCAGAAGGGACACATCCCTTAGTCTCAGGTCTCTTATCATCAAGACCTTCCTACTCTCTGGGACCCCTGGGTTGCCAGCTGGAGTTGGTCCCAAGCACCCAGCTCCCCACGCCTAATGATCTCAATGACAACTACCTTCCCGCCCCTTGTCAAAATTAGGCCTCTGGGGGTGCTAGGACCCTTGGGAACAGGATGGGAAGCTGGGGTGTTCATAAAGGTACCTACCTGTATCTGACAGAGGTCGATTAAGGCGCGAATACCTGATAAGCTCCACAGCTCACCCAAAAGGGAGACAAAGACACCCAGGAGGTCCAGCCAGCGGCCCACGGTCATCAGCAGAACAAAAAGGCCACTCATGCGCACCAGTACCGTCTGGACCTGGCCCTGTAGGCTGAAGCGATGCTGCCGCTGCTCCTCTGTGAGACGTACTCGTCACTATCTCGGCCGGCACCGTCTGGAGGTCAGCTGGGGCCAGCCTGTTCCACTCCTCAGCTGCTTTCCCCAGGGATTTTGTCAGCTTCCCTGACTGCCTTCCCCCAGCCTTGCTTCCCTCTCTGGGCACCTACAGGACTTCTTGCCCACCCTTAAGTTCCGCCCTGATTGAAGACAGAGCCCTGCCAGTCGATGGCAGCAATCTAAGGTTCTTCTCCTTTCTGCTTGTCGGTCTGAATCATCTGTGGTCCAATCTACTTCTGCCCAGTCTCTCTCTCGTCCCACCCTGGTCCCAGGCACCTTCCCCTCTCGCCGAAGCTCACTCAGTGAGGCTCATGACTTTTGTTCTCAACCAAGCTCCACTGACCATCCAAAGCGACCTAAACGTGTCAATAAGATGACATCATCCCTCTGCCTAGAATGCTCCCAGGACTTCCTATGGCTTTTAGAGAAGAACGCTAATGGAAGCCTTGTTCTCCACAGGCCAGATCTGACCAGCTACTCCCTCCTGCTTAGGACCCTGCCCAGCTTGGTTGGCCAGGGCTCTGGGATGGGCCTTTCTGAACTTGGCCAGCCTTGACCCTAATCCCTGTGGTCCTTAGGGGAACAACCCTGAACCACAGGCAGCGGTTCTGCATGGCCACGCCTTCACTCTGTGCTTTGGCCCACAATCCCTTTCACCTCACCTAGTCCTCAAGACCAACTTAGGTACCAGATCTTCAGATATGACATCACTGCTCTGAGAAACCCACAGTAGAGTCTAAGTCCCTACCCGGACTGGGTGGCTGGGATGGGTAGCCAATCAAAGGGACCCAGCTTTGGGACTCTTACCCTGCATGTAGATGACCAGCAGCGTGTAGCAAATGGTGAGTGGGGTCCAGAATCGCACGGCCTCTGATGTGCTCAGGAAATCCTTGTTGATGAGGGCCACAGCTGCTAGATCACTCACAGCAAAAGCCACTCCCAGAGCCCGGCCCAGGAACCTGGGCATGGCATGCTGGCTGGCCAGCAGGCCCAAGCAGACCCCACAGTAGCGCTGGCTGCTGTGCAGTTCGTAGAGGCTGCAGATGTGACGGTTTAGGCGCCGGGCACCCAGGCCGAGGAGTGTAGCCAGCCCCAGGCTCAGCAGCAGGTTCAAGGAGCGGTGTGGGGCGCCTTCCTGAAGGAAGCTCAGGCCACAGCTTAGCCCGCAGCCCAGGGAGAACTGAGACACAAGGAAGAGTTGGAGCCGCTCCTTGTCCTGGGAGCCCTGCAGGGGAAGAGAGCCCAGGCAGGAGCCTGGCATCTGAAGGGTGCTTTTTTTTTTTTTTTTTGCTCATCCAATTGGCTGGAGGGTAATAGGTCTAGGCCTTGAAGACTCGTCTTCCCAGACAAACCGTGTGCTCCTCCTTCTCAGTTGCCACACTTGTGGAGATTCAAGAAGACCCTTACTCAGCCGGGCGGTGGTGGCACACGCCTTTAATCCCAACACTTGGGAGGCAGAGGCAGGCGGATTTCTGAGTTCGAGGCCAGCCTGGTCTACAGAGTGAGTTTCAGGACAGCCAGGGCTACACAGAGAAACCCTGTCTCGAAAAACCAAACCAAACCAAACCAAACCAAACCAAACCAAACCAAACCAAACCAAACCAAACCAGAAAAAAAAAAAAGAAAAAAAAAGAAAAAGAAAAAAAGAAGACCCTTACTCGTTATGGCCATCAGGACAAAATGGGCCAAAGCCCTCAGGGGACTTAGCCAGGGCTGTGAGAAAAGCTCAGCAATACAAGATTTTTTTTTGGGGGGGGGGAGATCATGTGTCCCAGGCTGGCCTCAAACCCAATAGTCAAGGATGACCCTAAATTTCTCATCCTTCAGGTCTGAGTTGTCACCATGACAGTGCAAAGGATCAAATCCAGGGCTTTGTGCGTGCCACATTTACATGGTGATGGTGGGGGGACTTGGGTCCCTCTCCTGCTGCCAGGTAACAAACTGCAATCTATTTTCCATCTGAAGGAAGGGGGGGGCTTTCACTAGGCCTATTTCCCAATCCAGGAGATGAAAGTGACCCAGAGTGTCCCCACGCTGTTGTCTCACCTTGCCCAGGGACAACAGTGTGGACACAGCCCGGAGGGAGAACTCCAAGACCACAAGGGCGGCGACCCGGGCCCCTATCATGGTCAGGAACAGAGCCAGACCAGCCAGATGCACCATCTCCAATGAGGCCCATTGCGTTTGCAGCCGCTGCTTTTGGGGCTGCCGCTGGGGGTCACTGTGGGGGCAGAATGGGTGCGGGCTGAGAGGCAGGAGGATCATGGGGTCCTGTCCTGGGAAGGTTGCCAGGGCTCCAGCTCCACTCGCAGCCCTCTCCAAGAGAGACCAGACTCCGCTCAGGGACCAACTGCCTGGGCAGGGCTGGGTGGGACCGACGTGGGCACTCACTTGACACAGGCCACGAAGAAGTAAACTTTCAGGAGATTGTTGAGAACCGAGACTCCAAGGGCCCCGATCAGGCCTGAGCCAGACAAAGGAGAGGGTGAAGGGGGCGTTAGGATTGTCGGGGCGGAGGCCGGAGGAGCGCACGGTGCAGCCCGGAGCCGAGGACCTCACGTGGATGGTGGGGCCCACCTTGCACTCCGCCCACCCGAGGGAGGGATGGGGCCCAAGTGTGCATCCCGGAGGCGCTCACCTTGCAGGAGGCTGTCGAAGAGATTGGAACCCCACTCAAAGGAAGGGAGGTTGGGGAGCCAGGAGGAGAGGGAAGGCAGGGAGAACATGGCAGCCTCCAGGAATCCCAGCCTCAGCCTCGGGCCAGGTCTGCGCTGGGACAGACCCAATGATATCACCGGTCAAAGGTGTCTCCAGAAGACAGGGGAGGGACTAGGATAGGGTCAAAGGCCTGGGGGCGTGGCAGGAGAGCCAGCCGCGCTGATCTTCCAGGTTGCAGGATTCAGCAGCGCTGTCTGCCCGCAGCTACTGGTGGCTTCCCATTCAGGTCTCAAGGGCAAAGCAGTTAACTGGTTCTGGTCTGTGCCCGCTAGACTTCAAGGCCACCATGCCTTCCGGAAGTCCTTCCTCGGCCAGCTCACCTGGCCTTCCCCCTCTCGGGTGTGGCTCGCATTCAACCTGAAGTGTGAATTGGCCCTCTCTCAAGTTCCCAAAGCAGGGGTTCTCCCCACAGTGCCAAGGTCTCTTCAGGCTTCTAAAAACCAGTAGTTCGCTTTCTACAGGCCACAGGGAAAGAAGAATTTGGAATCCCCTTAAGGTTGAGTGTAGTCCGCCTCGGGGTCACACTGTTCCCCTTGAGTCCACTAGGTGGCGGGCTTTGCCTGGGCAGGTGGGCGCTGCTTTCTGGGTCCTTCCTAGAAAGGGCTTGAGAGTTGAGGATTTGGGGTGGTGGGGTGGGGCAGGGACAGGGAAGCAGAGGGGAGTCACCAAAGTACACAAAATATAAAACTTTATTGGAGTGTTCAACTGGAGTAGTTTTTCCCTCTTGGGATATGGTTGGTGATTGAAGGTGTCTGACCAAGAATGTCCACTTTCATAGTAGAAAGGCTACTGGGTGCCTTACACACCTGTTCCTGTGTGACTGCTGTCTGGAGAGAGGGCCCAGAGTCTGTCGTTGGCCCTGCAGTGGCTCTGCTCTGTGACCCACGTGGACGTCTTCCCTAGGCCTGAGCTCTTCTGGATGTTCGCAAACCGGAAGCCTGAACTCAAATCCAGAAGCCTGAACTCCAATGTTCCAATGCCCTAATGTAGTCCCTCAGCCACGTGTGACTGTAGAGGGAGACTGCGGAAGCTCCCCCAATATGCGGTCCCTGTGAGGGTCCTATCCAACATAACTGGGTTTCCCTGTATCCCTCTTCTCCCCCCCGCCGCCGGCCCTGGGGCCCCCCCCCCCCCTCCTCCTCCTCCTCTTCCTCTTTCTCCTCTGGCTCTCATGGAATCCAGGCTGACTTCAAACTCACTATGGAGCTGAGGATGATTTTGAACTCCAGATCCTCTTGCCTCTACCTCCCCAGGGCTGAGATCACAGGCGTGTGCCATCAGTTCATTCGGTGCTGGGGATGGAACCCGGAGCCTCCTGGTGAGCAGCGGATGGGCAGTCTGCAGACTGATCTATGTCCCCAGCCTGAGGAAAGCTGATTTGACTCTGATTCAGAGAAAGCTGCTCATTTTAAAGTCAATAACTTTTAGACCTTGGGGAGAAGTCAGCCTTGGGCTGGGGGGTATACCACTGGCAGATCATGTGACTCACACGCCCAGGCCCTGGCTCCACCACTGCACCACAAATAACTGAAAGAAAGGCAAAGAGAGATGCTAACACTGTCAATACCTTCTCGGGCTTCCGGGTTCAGAAGGTAGGAAAACAATTTTTTTGTTTTGTTAAGCCATCGAGGCTTCAGAATTTGGTTTGATAACTGGCCTTGGCCAACTAGACTCTGGGGACACCAAGGACTCCTTTGTGGTACAACCATGTACTCACATGTAGTGGCCTTTGAGAGATAGGAACCCCAGTAGCCCTGATGTAGCCTTGTCCTTGTTGAGAGCACCATATGGGGATAGGCAGAGGTGAACTCCAGTCCTGGCTATGTCGTGGCAAAGGTATGTGGCTCCAGTCAGAGAGACAGCTCCCCTCAGCCTCAGTTTCCTTATGCTGAGAGAGACTCCTGTGGTCACACACTGGAGGACTGAGGGGCCAGTGCAGCTGAGTGGCTCTCTTAATGGGGAATCTTTACAGGCAGGCATTACTGTGGCAGTGAATGAGCTAAGGCACGTTAACTCAGGGGAGAGAGAGGAAGCAAAGAGGTGGTGACTCGGGGCATACTGGTCCTGAGACTGGATGGATCCCAGTCGTCCAACATGCCCCGCCGCTCTCCCCCTGACCTGTGGCAGGGCCTGACTCAAGCTGGCTCTGAGGCAGGCCATCATTCCACCAGATGCCAGTGGAATGAAGTGGGATGAAGGACGAATCTAGGTGCCCTGGTGCTGGGCCCTCGCTGCCAGTTTCCGCAGCTCATCCCAGAAGAACATACTAAGGATGGTGTGGGGACCCAAACGCAGGTAGGCAGGGCCCAGGCCCTTGTAGAGTGCCAGGGGTCCCTCCTGTTGACAGGTCTTCACCAGGCAATCAGCAAGGCCCCTGTACAGCTGGCCCTGGGGACAAACATGGGGGAGAGTTGAAGGTCCCAAATGACATGACAAAGTGTGTCTGGTGGTGTCAGAAGCAGCTTCTGTTCCCGTCTGAGAGGATTACTGACTGTGATGCTAACAAAAAGGAGCCGTTGCCTGCCGGCAGATAGCCTCTTCCAGGGGTACAGCTTGGATATCGGCATACACCTTTGTCCTCACACTTCCTGTCAGTGTTATGACCGGAAGGCCATGATTCCAACCCTGTCTTTTTTACTGATCATCTGGGCCACCTCGGCCAGGTCACTTGATCTCTCTGAGTTGATTTCCTCGTCAGGAAACAGAATAAAATCCAGTCAAAGGGCTTGGGACTTGCCTGTTAATGTGTTGTGAATATGGTCCATGTCCCCTGGTGGCTCTGTGTGTGTGTCCCATGTCCCCACTTCTCCCGTTCCCCTCGTCCCCTGCTCACCCTGCCGGCTCTGTCCGCCGGCTGATTGTACAGCCGAGTGCTGACAACGTCGAGTGGTGTCATGACTGCAACCACGGCTATACTGCTGATCATGCCTCCAGCCAGGGTCACCAGCCAGCTGTCCTCCAAAAACCACTGCAGGGGATGGCACAAACTGCTGACTGCTCACTGCCTTTACCCATCCCAACTGTGATCTCCCCACTGCCCCAAGCCCATGAGGGCTGGAAGGGCTGGGGTGGGCGAGCAAATCGGACCTCTCCAGCCATTTCCAACTCCTGATGCCAATCCTGCATTCCTCCATGATTTTAGGGTTCACTGATGACCCCCCAAACTCCTGTTGGACACAAAGGCTAGGTCACAACTATAATGGCAGAGCCAACAACTTTATTCTCCCCCTCCCTCCCTCCCTCCCTCCCTCCCATCCTTCCTCAAGCAAGGGTATTGCATCCTCTCTTGGTCGAGACAGGTCTTGCTATGCAGCAGGGTGTTCTCCAACTTGTAATCCTCCTGCCTCCACCTTCTAAATTCTGAGATCACAGGTGAGAATCTCTATCCTAGCTGCAACCCCTTCCTCTCCTTCTTTCACTCCTTCCTTTCTTCTGTCTCTCCTTCCTTCTCCCTCCTCTCCACCCCCCTCCTTTTTTTCCTTTCCTATTTCCCCTGTCTTTCTTTTTCTCATTCTCATGTAGGTAGCCTGGGTCTACTTTGAACTCTATGTAGCCGAGAACCACTTAAGCTCCTTGACACCCACACCACCACCCTTGGCCTCAACATCCTACGTTAGGAACATAAGCGCATCTCACCATGTTCAGCAAGACCAGGTTTTGTTTTGGGCCCCATCTGTCACCAACTCTGTGTGAAAGAGGCAAGAAACCCCCCACTCCCTATGTGTGTCTGTGTTCCCAGCCCCTTACCTGTCGATCCTGAACCCATGCCTTGGCAGAGGTAAAGGTGGCCAGCTGGGCAGCTGAACCTACTGTGACTCGGGGCACAGCCCCACCCACACCCCGCCACAGCCCCAGCATGCCCTGTTGGCGCCAGATGGTCTCCAGGGCACTCAGGACACCCTGCAGGGAGGAGATGGTTTGGGTCACTAGACAGTCATAGCACCTGCACAGCCTGGAGCCCCAGGTTCCGGGGACGTTGTCTTACCTGATGCTGGTGCTGATGCCCCACAGCCACGGCAGCCACTGTCTGGGCCTGCAGCTGTGTCTTGACCTGCAAGTACAGAGCAGACAAGAGTTCTAGGATAGAGTCTGGGGACTGAGCTAAGCATGTCTGAGCCCCTCCCCTGACCCCACATCTGAAGCTCAGAGACAGCCTTGGTTGGCCAGAGTTTACTTTTATTATTTTAAAATTTGAGACAGTGCCTCATGTACCCCAGGCTGGCCCCAAATAAATTGTGTCACCATGACCTTAATTCTGATTTTCCTGACTCCACCTCTCCAGAGCGGGGATTATGGGTAGGCAGGCTGTGCCACGCCTGGCTTATGTTGTACTTGGGAACAAACCCAGGGCTTAGTACATGCTAGGCAAGCACAATGCCAACTGAGCCACCTCCTGAGGCCTGGGCACGCATCTCGGTGTCTCAGGTTTCTTAAGGAGATCTTTGGGACTCTGTGTTGCTACTCTCAAGGACAGAGTAAAGTGATTGTTCAGTGCCTAGACCAGGACACAACTGCCCTCTGCTCTGTGACAGCTTGTATTCTTACCGTATGCCAGACTCCCTAGATGCAACCACAGGCAAGTGAAGACTAGAATCCACCTACTTTATAACCTGTTCCCTCTCCCAGCTAAGATTAATGGGCATGGACCCCCAAAGAAGCAAGGGTCAGAGTGAGGGCAGATTCCACGTCTGAGCCAGATATTCCCAGCGAACAGTCCCCTCCCAAACAGACCCACCCAACCCAGGGCCACAAAGTCCACTGGTCACATTGGTAACGGAGTTGTAAAGGAAGGAGAAGACACTTACCAGGTAAGCAGGACTCCCCACAAAGGCTCCCAGTGCCCCAGCCACAGCGCCTGTGATCACAGTGCCTCCTGGTTGCTGGGTGAGGCCAGCCTGGCATGCCAGGCTGTAGCAGTAGAAACGGACACCATTCATGAGGCCCTGGTAGAGAAGGCCAGCGGCCAGCCCCTTCTGAAGGCCCCACAGCCCGTCTGCCCGGGCAACGGCTGCAACAGAAGACACAAAACCCCGGTAGGGCCGTGGGTAGGTGCCTGGGGCCTGCAGTTCCCCCTGCAGTTGCAGACGGGTCTTTACCACTTCCAGAGGATTGGTGAATACACAGGCCAGGCAGCAGGCTGAGGCACCCAGCACTAGGTCCACAGCTGGGGACACCATCTCCCTCGCATCCGTGGCAGGAGCCATCTGTGCCTGGGTCAGTGTCATGTCACAGGCTACAGGTGGTAGTGTCTAGGCAGTCTGCACCCCTGCATGGCCACAGGGCTGGGGATCAAAGGGAGCCAGAGCCATGTCTAGAGGACAGAGATCCTGTCACTGGCTAGAGGCAGGCCCCTGGTTGTCTTGGAACTCCACCTGCTGTTCATCAGCAGGGCTATGGGAATCTGGACACACCTCCTCTGGCTCAGACCAATCCCAGCTGCTGCTGCTGGTCAGGGCGGGCCTGGGCCCTGGGATCTGGAGGAAAGGTCACTTGTGACTGGAAGGACAGTGGGCAGGAAAAGCTAAGTAGGGGAGGGCACTCCTCCTTGTCCTCTAGACTTCCTGTGCCATCTCTGGTCCCTGTTCGGCTCCAGCTAAAGCCTCAGGCTTGTGGTCGCTTGGCCCTAAGCATGGTCAACCTGCAACTTCTGCCATTTCTACAGCTGCCAGATTATAGCCCCCTCCCCCCCCCCCCCCAAAGGTTTATTCACTTAATATCTTTTTGTTTGACTCACAGAGATCCACCTGCCTCTGCCTCTCAAGTGCTGACATTAAAGGTATGCCCCACCAAGCCCAGTTTTATAGCTCTATTTCAACAAGAATGAACATGAGGGAGGACCCCAGAGCCCTGCAGAGCCAGTGGTGAGGTGGTCCAGTTTTGTGTGAGGCGGTATCTCATTCTCAAGGACTCACTGTGCTGCCCAGGCCGCCTTCAAACTCCTGGCTGGCTCTATCTCCCTCTGCCCCACACCTCACCCTCACCCCCCAGCACTGGCAGCACAAGCATGCAGATCCATGCCAATTTTGTCTCTTACCTTTTTTTTTTTTTTTGGTTTTTCGAGACAGGGTTTCTCTGTGTAGCCCTGGCTGTCCTGGAACTCACTCTGTAGACCAGGCTAGCCTTGAACTCTCAAACTCAGAAATCCGCCTGCCTCTGCCTCCCAAGTGCTGGGATTAAAGGTGTGCGCCACCACCACCCAGCCTGTCTCTTACTTTTTTATGTACATGGGTGCTTTGCCCACATGCATGTGTGTGTGTGTGTGCCCATGGAGGCCAGAGAGGGCGCTGTATACGCTGGAACTGGAGTTACACATGGGTCTGAGCTACCATGTGGGTGGGTGCTGGGAATTGAACCCTGGCTCTCTGGAAGAGCAGATAGTTCAGTGCTCTCTAACCACTGAACAATTTCTCCAATCCCATTAATTTTATTTTATTTTAAGACAGGGTTGTTCTGTGTAGCTTTATCCTGGAACTATGGAGACCATACTGGCCCAGAACTCCCAGAGATCTGGCTCCCTCTGCTTCCCAAGTGCTGGAGTTACACCACACCCAGAAAACACCATTGATGTCATTGCCTTTTTAAAAAAGACAAGGTCGGGCTAGAGAGATGGCTCAGCGGTTAAGAGCACTGACTGCTCTTCCAGAGGTCCTGAGTTCAAATCCCAGCAACCACATGGTGGCTCACAACCATCCATAATGAGATTGGATACCCTCTTCTGGTGTATCTGAAGACAGCTACAGTATATTCATAAAATAAATAAATAAATAAATCTTTAAAAAATTTATAAAAAAAAAAAGACAAGGTCTCATTATGTAGCTTAGGTTATCCTGTATGTGTGCACATGCGTGTGAGGGGATACACACATGACCCAGAGGGCAACTTTGGGGGCCATTATTTTAAAAAGGGTTACTTGAGCACAAATCCTGCTCCACCACCAGTCGACGTGAGTACTGGGTGCCTAATGGTGTGCACAGCACAGACTCCGGGACAACCGGACGAACCACATCTGTGCAGCTTGCGTGTATTTAAAAACTGGTCAACTGCTTATTTCTAGAATTTTCCATTTCCTAGTTTCACTGCTCATGACGGCGGGTGACCAGAGTGTGGAGATGGTGTTGCCCAGGAGGGGAGGGTGGGTCGAGAAAGGCCTCTGGGAAATTGACGGGTGAAAAGCCTGCTTCACCCAGTGAAAGGCGGTCCACACCCGTCCTGCATCCCCAACTTCTAGTGCCTCAGCTGTGCTCACCCCAAACTGCAGAGTCCCCGTGTGGGATGGAATGGCATGCCGAGAGCCCCATGAGGAACAATCCTGGTGGCTCTAGCCATTTTCTTTAACAACCAGGCCACCAGGCTCCCTCTTGTGGTGGCCATGCAGGAAACCGAAAGGCACAGTGGGGACTTCCAGTCAGCAAGGCCAACCTGGGGCTGATTCTTAGCGCGCTCGTGTGTGTGTGTGTGTGTGTGTGTGTGTGGTGTGACAGCAGACAATGAAGATAGGGGGCGGGGCACTACTCCACCCACCTCACACTGAAAGGAGGTCAGTGACAAATCTCAGCAATATAACATCAATTTTATTTTAAAAAACAAAACCCAATCCATCTGACCTGTCCCTCAAGGAACCTAATAAGAGACTTCAGGGAAGGACCAGCTCCAGCCAAGCAGGGGTCGGTGGGTCGTCAGGTGTCACAGAAGCCACCAGGCCCATGGGCTCTGCTCCCCTCTCAGCCTATCTCCTTTGCTCCTGGCAAGAGGAGCCAACTCATCCCTGGTCCTACAAGCTCTGCTGTATTTGAGGAAGAGGAGAGGCAGGGCTGTGGACATGCAGGGCCTCCTGGCAGACATGGAGGGCTGCCAGCTGGGCCCAGGCTGTGCGAGGCAGGCCGCTGTGCATGGGTGGATTCGTGAGAGGGGGCATGCACACATCCCTAGTGATCACCTTTCCCTGTGCGGTGGGGACAGTGTTCAAAAACGAACAAGGGTGGCTGGGCACTCAGGACCCCCGGGGGGCTCTGACCATCGCCCAGGCCCCTGACCCAGGAGAGGAAGATGGCACACCTACCCACTTGTCTCTTTGCTCCTGCTTAAATGGATGCTATCGTTCTCTCTCTCTGTCACCCTGAGCAGACAGTGAGGACTAAAGTGGTGGCCAGGGGACACTAAGTGTCTACAGAGCCCACAGGGCTCAGACTTTCTGCCTCAGTGACCTCTAGTCACTGCAGTTGGGCAGGATGTCTACGGTGCCAGGCACTGACTCTGAATTCCTGTCTCAAGCCACACTAAGTGGTTCTGCTACCCCAAGGCAGGAGTGGGCTGTTGACCCCTGGCTCCAAAACACCATGGTGGCACACCGCAGTGCAGAAGCCGGCCAGCCCGCCTCCTTCCCGTCTTCCCCCAGTGTTGCTCGGCCACGCCTCAGCACCAGGGGTCCCGGGAGGCCCTGCCACGGCACAGGCTGTCGCTCCGCTGCCAGGCACTGTGGATGAGGCTCAGGGCGTCCTCAAATTTCTGCTTGATGGAAGCTTCCTGGATTGCCTTGTGAGGAAGGTCTACCTGTGTTTGGACAAGCAGAAAGCACAAGGGCTACAGGCTGCTCTCCCAGGAGCCACGGAAGGCCGTCAGGGCCCTGCACACCGCTTTGGGAACACCTTCCATGTTGCAAGTTCCCCTTGTGCTCGGCACACAGACCCTGAGCTCAGCTCTCGGGTCTATATGGATTTCACCAGGTGAGGGGGTCTGTTCTTGACTGTTTTCCATCTCTCACTCAGTTTAGAGCTGCCGCAGAATGGCAGGGTGCAAGGAGCACAGTGCATAAAACAGTACCTCTCCCTGGGTGTGGTGGCACATGCCTTTAATCCCAAGAGCCAGAGGCAGATGTTTCCCTGTGAGTTCCAGGCTGGCCAGAGCGGCATAGTAAGACCTTGTCTCAAAAACAAAACAAAACCAACCAACCAACCAACCAACCAACCAAACAAACAAACAAACAAAAAATCCCAAAAGTCTCTACTTCTCCAGGGCTGGGAGCTCCTCCAGTTCTGGGGTGGGAGAGGGCCTGTCATGCATCTCACCAGGCCCACCAAGAGCCCCACAGTGACTGGAGCTCAGGTCAGGAACGGCAGCTCCTGGTGGTATTTTTAGTTTTGACAGACACATTGACAAAGGGGGCTTGCCTCTAAGTTTCTATCTGTCTAGAGTTGTTGGCAAATTGCTGTCCCCAGAACCCTTCAGGAGAGGCCAGGCCCCACCCCAAAAATGGCCAGGTACCTGATAGATGGCTTTCCACCCAGAGCTCAGGGCAGTCAGGAACCGGTCCAACTCGGAAGTGCAGCTCAGGTAGATGACCCAGGGCTGGAGCAGCTGTGGGCTATCCTGGGAGAACTCCTAGGGGCAGCAGGTTCCAGGTGAATATGCATGGATTTCCTTGGGCAAAGCCTCTGCCCCCATTCCTGCCCACTCACCAGGACACAGTACTCCTTGCCGAGCTCTGTGGAGACAGCAGTGATGTCTGCCAGCCTGGCTGTGCCCAGGGAGCGAAAGAAGCTGGTTTGGCAGTCCTCGTGGCATGTGAAGAGGCGGTCCTCCGTGATCACCAGGCAGCAAGGGATACAGGGGCTAGGAGCTATGCCCTGGGGTATGACCTGGACATTGTCAGAAGGTGAGAGAGGCAGGTTGTTCCTCTAGGGTGGCCTGCACCAGGAATCCCCTGTAGACTCTACCTTAGTAGTGTAAGAGGGTGGGGGTGGGGTTGAGGGGGGGGATGGACCAGGCTGGGTGGATGATGGTAGACACAGGCAGGCTTACTCCTTTGGACACGGCCTGGCAGAGATGTTGCATCCAGTCAGCCATCTCGGCTTCGCTGTCGGCACTTAGCTCCAGGCAGGGCCGGTCAGCCAGAATGACCTGGAAGGCGTGGGGTCGCTCCGTGGTGTTGGATCTCCGGCAGCCACCGCACTGCTCCCCACTGGGCCAGAGGAAGAGGGTGAAATGGGAGGGCGGAGGCAGGGGTAGGAGACCCTGTGGTGGGCTGATGTGTGCAGATACTGGGCCGCGGGCTCTAGGGATGCTTGCATATGCTTGGCTAGCCTACCGTTTTTTTGTGTGTGTAACAGCTTTTTTCTTTTTCTTTTAAGACAGGGTCTGATATAGCCCAGGCTGGCCTGAAACTTGTTATGTAGCAGAGGATGACCTGGAATCCTCCTGCCTCTATCTCCCACACTGGATTTGACATCCCGAATCTCCAAAATTACCAACCCCCCTGGGGGTTCCCAAAAATGGCAAGGAAAGACTACAAAGCCACTCACTGCACCTCCTCAGAACCAGTGCCCGCCCACCCACTTCCTCTGCTGCCCGCCTCTCATTGGCTGGAATTCTTGGGAGGGGGTTCTTGTCTCTAGGCAAAAGGGTGCCTCCTCGTGCCTCCTGCCTCCACAGCTTCCCCACAGCTTGCAAAGACCAAGGCACCAGTCAGGGTTACGATAAGGGGAGAGGGGGACGGAAGGACAGTGGACTCCAGACTTCAGACTTGGCCACTGCTGGCCTCCAGGCAGGACACCTAGCCATGACCCCTGCATAGTTCCCTTTCCCTGGGACACTTACCCCATGTTCACCGAGAGCAGGGGGATGACGTCCGTGCGGTCAGGATACTGGTAGAGGATCCCATTGCTAGGGGGCCACAGTTAGAGTGAGGTGAGGCCTGGCTAAGATCCCAGGAATTCCCCACACACTAGCTGGGAACCAGGGATCTGCTCTCTATGGAGAGGGTGAAAAAGGAGTCTGAGCGTGGCCATGGAGACCATTGCCCCTGGAAGTCCTAGGCACAGCTGAAGGTCTGTCACCAGGGCTGGCTCAGGCTCCTGGGAGTCCTGGGCCCAGAGAACTGCCTGGCTAGAGAAGGTCTATACCCCTGGGTGAGCCCTGGGCACGGAGGAAAAGGGAGCCCCCGCCCTTGGGCCTTTCCCACTAGGGACTTGACATATGCTTGGGCCCGCAGCTGCTGGGGCTCTCACCTGAGCACCACGAAGCAGGCCTTCCAGTGTTCCTTGCCCAGGTAGGAGGTGCTGGCTTTGTAGTGCAGCATGCCTTCTTTGGTGATGGTGCCCTCCGCAGGTGAGCACTGACAGGGAACGGGGCCCAGGGCTTCTTCCATGGGGTCCTCCCAGTGCACAAGTCCGTAGAAATGCACGGTCACGGTGGATGCCTGGGGGTGGAGGCAACAGACAAAGCAGCTGAGGTCAGGCCTCCGCTTACCCAGAACCCAGCCCCAGGAAAGGCCACCATGAGAACAAGGTAACCTCAGGACACAGCCAAGTGGACAAGAGGATAGAGCCTAAAGGAGGAAAGCCCCTCCCACCAGGGAAAGCCCCTCCCATCAGGCAACTGGGAAATGCCCCGGGGAAGGCCAATGGTGTGCCACTGGCATCTCCTCCCAGCCACTAACCTCACATTTGGATTCCTGGGCGACAAATTTCGCCAGCGCCAGCTTCTCCATGGTGGCATCAGTCAGGATGCTGGGGTAGGGTGGTTCCCGGCAACCTTTGATCATAGCTGACTTCAGAGATGCCAGGAAGAGCCTGTTTAGGGAGCGCAGTTTGCTGTCAGAGGCTTGGGGACAGGTCCTTGGCAGATAGGGCTTTGTCCTGGGAATGCCTGGCCCAAAGACCTCACAGGAGGTAAGGGCCGAGGGTGCTGGGCTGCAGTAGGCAATGACGGGGTCAGAACCCTGCATCACTGGATGGTGCCCAGAAAAGGCCCGACCTTTGCTAGTGTCCAGGTGGCCTTGGATTCTGACAGTAGCCCACCAGATTGCTGGACAGTAGGATCTGACCACTCCATCAGTACAGAAATGACCTCATTACATGGAATTCCCATGGCCGTCGTCCAGGACACACTCGGGACAGCAGGCCAGCTCTTGTGCCTCCCCTCCCATCGGACCTCACACACCAGCCCCCGTCCTCTCCGTGGGTCCTGAGGTCACCTGAGCTGACGTGAGTCAGTCGGTCAGTGACTGTCCACTTCCCTGCCTCTCTGAGCAGACCGCAGGCTCTTGGGGGAACAGATTGCTGCCTCCTTCTACCCCCAGCCAGGGCCATGCCCATGGCAGATGCTGGGTCTCCTGTCCTGTTGAGGGGCGGGGGCTGACACTCACTCAGCCAGGGCCATGTCAGCCGTGTCCAGCAGAAACTGCTTCCTGCGGTTGGTGCACACCAGCTTGACAGTCTGTTGGTCGAGGCCAACCTGCCAGAAAACACACAGGACTTGGTCGTTGCCTGGCATAAGGGGCGTACTAAGGGTTGGCTGAGATTGGGAAGGGAGAAACCGCATGTTTGGGGTCATTACTAAGAAGGCCTCTGACCAAGACTGGGGTCTGAATGAGTTAGGGAAGATGGTCAGAGATCTGGTGCAGGAAGAGGTGTCTTGCCCTTGACTCCCGTCTCCAGCACATTTGCAGAGGCCTCTGGATGTTGGCACTCATTGCCTATGCTCTACAGCTCTGGGCAAGGGTAGCCTGAGATGCCCCGTATTTAGATGGGTATACCAACGGCAGAGCCTGCACTCACCGACACATAGTCAAGTTCATTGTAAGAAACAGCCTCTTCCACCAGGTATGGCTTCTCTGTGGCCCCTGAGAGAGGAGACCGGAATGCCTCTTACCCTGGCTGGCCTCTTTCCCTCCCCCAGCCCCATTTTCAAAGACCCCGGTCTGCAACAGTGACAGTGTAGCAGGATGACAGACAGGGTGCTCAGCCCAGCTAGCAATACCTCCCTTGGGTCATTATTTCAAGCCTGCGGTGAGTGGGGGGTTGGGAAGGAG